ATGTTTTCGTCGCGCTGTGATGACATCAGGTACGCGCTTTCGTCGAGCGCGCTTTAGTCTACCGCGGTTTTGTGGTGGAACCAGCTCCCGTGACTTGTCCCAGCTTCTGCCAACCTAGCAGTTCAGAAGCACGTAAAAAAAAATGCAAGTAGAAAAATAGGAACCACCTTTGGTGGGAAGGGAACAGCGTTCCGTGCGCCTTCGGCGTTTAGTCATGCCGGCCGCATGACCACGGAGACGTCTTCGGACAGCGCTGGCTCTTCGGCTTTGAAACGGAGATGAGCACCGCCCCCTAGAGTCGGGAACGACCAGCACGTATGTGCAAGGGGAACCTTTACCTTTTACGCTGATCTAAAAGGTGTAGTTGTCATGCTTACCAAGAGGAGAACATCCGTTTTGGATAGACAAAGGGACAAAGTGTGTAGAGTAGAAGCTACTTTATTTGATAAGACTCTTTTCTTGGTTAAGACTGTACAAAAAAAAAAGATACACAATTAACTGAGTATACAATAATATTAAATATCCCGTAAGATTGTCTTCTGTGCTGTTCGTTTTTGTTTTTTTTAAAGAAGAAAAAACTTCATGTAATGCATTTTAGTGCTTTAAGGCAGCTTTAAAAATTAAAGTCGTCTGGGCAGATTTAATGGGGGAGTGGGGTCAGTTCTAAAAATGCCTGTAGAATCATCCGTTCCCTCAGCATTGCAGCAGACGAGTGGAAAGGATGCGTTTGTATGATGCCTGCTAGATTTTATAAATATTTTGGTATATCTTTTCACGTGACACTGAAGAAATGACACTTGGTACTCTTATAGCAATAGCAATAGGAGCAATTGTAATCAGGGCACAGATGGAGGGAGAAAATTGGGAAATGCCAATTTTATAGCTTTACCAAGCCAATTCTGCAAAGATTTGTACATAGAAGGTCACTTTTTAAAAACATTAACTTGCTGGTGATGTGTTCCAGCAGGGCAAAACAAAAACAAAACCCAAACCCCAAATCAGTGTACCTGCTAGTAACTGATGTTGGAATGTTTGATTAAAAATGGCTGGAGAAATCAGATTTGGGATTGAACAAAATCCAGATAATCAGTAGATGGCAGCCTAGAAGCAGCTGTAATGCTGTGTTTTGGCTGCCATCTACTGGCCACCCATAGCTTTTGCAACCCACGTCAGGAAGCTCTGCAAAATTTCCAATGGCATCTCTGTGTTTCACCCCGGATCACGTCAACCGAAGCCGGAGGAGACGTTGACTTTGAGAGGACTTACGCCAACTCACCGCAGCCAACTCGCTACGGGACAAGAGTGACACTAATATATCAAAAAAGGGTGGAATAGAATCATTAAAGAAAGGGACCAAAAGAAATGTGAATGAGACCAAAATTTAAATAATTTTTAAAATTATTTCAAATAATTTAAGTGGACTTGCTGAGTTGGTCACGGCAAATTAATCCCATTCCCTTTTGAGAGAGTCACAAGACATAAGCCTCAAGAGCAAGTTGTGCGTATGAGGAAGAAAGGGATTTAATTTTTTTGGGGGGGGGGACTGCGACGAGCGAGATGTTTAACAGGTCAACACTGGGACATCCTTCTCAAATCGCAGGGATGCAGTGGAAGAACTCCAGATCTTCTACGATCAAACTTGGGAGATGACATTGAGTCCCCCGTCCCCCCCGCCACAACCGAGGAAGCGAAGTTGGACAATTTCATGTTGATGAATTCCACTACACTTTCCTAGAGTAGAACATCTCCCATCCCAGTTCCAGAGCATCCTATCCAACATCCAGAAATCCCACTAGAGATAGATATTCTGACTGTCCCGTCAAAATCTCCGAGACGTCGGTTGAGACATGCTGCTTCAGAACAACGGATTAGAAATGGTCAAAGACAAGAGACCGTTTCTGTTCTGGGTCAATCAGTACTGGTGACCTAGGAAGACAAGATCTTGACTTCTTCCCCAGAATTGATTGCCACCCAAGTTACACATTTACACACTCTCTGCCAGCTGCCTAAAAACCCATCCTTTCTTACAGGAAGAGCCAGAGATGAAGTGGGGCCGAGAGCATGCAAGGGTCCTTTTCCATGGGTTAATTTAATGCAAGGAGACCCTTGGTGGTCTCCATAGGCTGTTTCTCAGTATGGGGATGATAGGGCCTCCGTTCATTTGAAGGACGCCAAGTTCAGAGAAAACGTTAAAAGTAACAGATAGGTTGAGAATGTTAAGAGCTGTATGTGACCAGCAAAGCTGATGAGGAGGCCAGCTGGCTTAAGGAGTTTCAACTTTGTCCTCCTCACTTAGCTTCAACTCTTATTCCGTTTAATTCCACCCCCCAAAAAAGGAAATGGGTCCAACGCGACACCCCCCCCCAAAAAAAAATCCCATCTACCAAATAAATCAAGAATTATCAGCCATCTCTCCCACATTAAGGCCAATAGTTTCCAAGATTTGCAGTTTCGTGGCCCAAATGCCCCTAGATCTGAGAGGGTCAACCTTCAGACAGAAGGAGAAGCTATTGGAAGGTGAGGTTGCCTTGAGACTCTTTCGGGGGATCAATTAAAGGCTGACGATTAGAGCTCCGGCGTCTTCAACCTCCCTTCCCTTTTACTTCCGAAAGAGAACGGAACGAGAGACCCCACAGTTGTAGTAACTAAAGCCACCAACAAGGTGTAGACGAACAAAAGGCCCACCTCGTCAAGAAACCTTTGTGCAAGCAGCTCTCCCCACCCTTGTGCAAGGCAAGAACTCCATTCTGAAGGGAGGTCGTGCATAAACATCTCAAGAACTTCTCTCTCTCTCGTCAGAAAAAGCAACCGGGGAGTAAATCTCTCCCCTTCTAGGCAGCATTGAGGGTTTCTCTTTTCCTTCATGTGTGGGCCTCCGCAACCCCAACGTATTGCGAAACCTAGTTATCGGAATTGCTGTTGTTCGCTTTTTACACGCACACACACACACGCACACAGGTTTTTCTGTTCACCTTTTATGGGGGAGAACCCCTTGCCTCCTGATTAGTCCCCTCAGGAGCGCTGAACCTTGGCCAGAGAAGCAACTTCTCTTGGCACAAGGCGTCCACCGGGCTCCTGGATAAAGAGTTAATACACTTCTACGTTGCACCATTCAGAAGACACTAGGGAGCTCTTGAGCAAGGTGCCAACAGTACACTGCCTTGCCCTTCCAGGGGCCGGATCTCCAGAGTTAGCGCCCCATCCCCGGCTCCGACCCGCTGATTTGACCTAAAATTCAGCAGGGATCCAAAACAAAGAGAGGAACTGGAGGGGGGGGGGAGGGAGAAAGTGCTGAATTCTTGACCCGTGTTAGTGCAGCAGCCCTCCGAGGCTTCTTCCTATTGGATGGAGCAGGAGGCGGAGTCGCCAAAGCAACAGGAGCAAGGTGAGGACGAAATGGGCTTCGGGGGGATCAGATCGAGATCCTCGTCATCAGGGATCTCGTCCAGGCGGTAGCCGTCCTGC